TGTATGTGACTGTCCCGATAGTTGTGATATCTCCATATATTGCTGGATGCTGTATATGACTGTCTCCATGTAAGAAAAAGCAGAGTTAGCTGAAATAATGTATTAATCAATGATGGGGGAATAGAAAAGAACCCCCAGAGACCACTCAATGCCAGTGATTTCCAAACCCTTGAGAGACCATTGCACTTTTAATTCATAAAGGCAAAGCCTCTCTTGTATATCAGAACAAAGTTTAAAGGAATATATTTTTTTAATTTCTCAACTACTCACACCTTCCAAAACGAACATTACGTGTACTAAATACGCCAAAATTTTTAAAGTTTACTTACACATCACTTTTGAATGTGTACAAGTTGTCTTCAAGAGATTCTATTGCCATCCATTTCACTGGGACTCTCCCCTAAAATTAAAACAAAAAAAATCGATATTTCAAATATTAAATCTTATTTAGTTTACAATGAAATAAAAAACATGTACTCTGTTCTAAATACTTAACATATTATTCCAAGCTAAATATGTATAATATTTCACTTGAGAACGTAACTGTTACAGATGACAGACAGAACACAAGAAAACAACTGAAGAATCGCAATAAACCAGCACACGGTTTACAAGCAGCAATGTCTAATTAGCCTGTATGATATGACAACCAGTAACACTTTAATTGGTTTCACTACATTGCAACTGAGTAATGTTACATTTAATTTTACAGTCAGCAAAATAAACACAAATTAATAACGAAACTTATAGTTTTGGAGCATACCGACAACATCTAGAGAAAACAAAAATACAAACTTCAATTGGTCCATTACGTTGTTATTGTTTAGATGCAAATTGTCGGTAGTCTAGTTTTGATTGCTGTACTTTAATACAATTTTTTTTCGTGTAAATTTCAGGAAAGCGATCTGTCGACAAATGTGAGAAGTATTTAATGACATAAAAATATCCCTTACGTCATTGGAAGTATCATATCATACCTTTGGACAACTATGCAAGACAAAGCAGATTTGTGTAAATGAATGTAGTTTCTTCGTTGGCATCATATCATACAGTCCTCCGATAGGACAGCAGTAAGTTTATGGACTCACAATGCTTAAATCCGGGGTTTGATTCCCCGCGGAGTACACAGCTGATAGCACCATGTGGCTACGCTCTCAAAAAACAAACAAATATGTTATATAAAATAATCATATTTTTAGATTTAGATATATACATTTCTGAATACTGAAAACACTATCATTCGTCACGGCATGGCCAG